GGAAGCAATAAGAATGAAGAAATCAAAAACCAGTTAAGAATTTGCCTGTACTTAAAAAAGAACCTTTTTTTTTTTTTTTTTTTTTTAACGTGAGATGAGAAACTTTCATATACTTAGCTAGGAAGAGAACCAATATATGACTTATTGTTCAAAGGAACATATAGAGTGCTGTATGCAAAATATATTGAATGGGGGACTGGAGAGATGGCTCACTACTTGCTCTTTCAGAGGACATATGTTCAATACCCAGTACCCACACTGTTGCTAACCTTCAGAAACTCCAGTTCCAGAGGTTCTGATGCCCATTTCTGGCCTCTTCAGACAGTGCAAGACATAGGTGCAGGCAAAACACTCATACACATAAAAATAAATTAGAAAGTATATTGAAGAGGATACATAGAAGGATAGATATAAGCTATAAGGCCATTGCAATAAACCCTTAACAAGGAAATCATCTACAAACTTGATAATTCAAGATTTAGGGTATATTCTGATAAAGAGCCAAAGAACTTTCTAATGTATTGGATTTGGGCATGGAGAGAAAAGGAAATTGAATAAAACTTAAGAATAGTTAATTTGATTGTCTGGAAGGATAGTGTAGCCATAAGGAAATAGGAGGAGGATGGTTTAGAGAATTGAGTTTGTTAGTTATGTTATAAAACTGGATATGTGAGCAGAGACTTGTGGGGTGGTCTTCACTAGAATATTCATTCATAGAGAAACAAAACAGATAAAAGCAAAGCTCAGCTGAAGTCTGAATTCACTTGTTCTCAATCCATTATGTAGTGGCTCTTGAGTAAGTTTCCTGGAGCCCTAGACTTCCATGAACAAACTGAACATCTTTGTTATTGTCCATATGTTCTAGGAGTTCAGTCAAGTATATACCTTGAATGTTCAAAAAGATTAACCAAAGGGGTAAAACTATTCGGGGTTCATACAGTATTGCCTATTTTAAGCATTATACTAAATCTCTAGGGCATACTGCTCTGTGGATTATTTTACCTAATTACAACAAACCCATGAGATTGTCACCATTGTACAGTGGATGATAGATTTATGGATAATCAGATGCTTTTGATGACAAAAATATCCAATTTTCATGACTCTAGCTCCCAAATTAATTAGACACTAATAAAAATGTTTCCATGGTTATTTGGCAAATGCATCCTTCCCTCTCAATCCCCCACACATCTGTAACTATCTGTTAAAGTCGGTGCCTTATAAACACAGGTTACTAAAATGGCATAATTAATGAATACCTTGGGATTAGCTATTTCACCTGAAATTAGAAAAGAAGTGTTGTTTTTTTTTTTTTTTTAAATTCTGGACATTTCTGTGATAGGTTTATGGGGATTTTTTATTTTTTGTCTACATAGCAGTGGGTTCTTGAGGTAAAGTTCTTGTTATTAATTCCTAGAAACATTGCCTAGGTTATATCTGCAATATAACTCCCTTGATCCTTAATGTTCGCATGGAGGGGGGTAAGAGAAATGTTTCATAAACACATTCCACTTAGTAAACCACAAGATAGACTTGATCCAAAGAAAGAAACAAACTTTCACAAGTATTTGTCACAGGTTCTCATCACGTGGAAGGCTGACACAGATCTGATGAGCAGATCAGTAAAAGCATCATGGGAAGTTCTGGCCCAAATTAATGACTGAGGTCTAACTCTGAAGAAGACGAGGGCCCAAAATCATGAATACATCTTGCTAGCAACTAGGAAATCTATTTTCACCTACATAATTGTTCAAAGAAGCATATTCTTTTAAATAGCTTTTGAATGTTACTTTCTCATAGGGTATACAATAAATACAAAATATGTACTTGAGATTGTGTGTATAATCTGTAATTTAGTGATAGTTCCAAGTTGACATAGTCTAGAGATTGGCCACTGTGCATGCCTGGAGTGTGGATTATCTTGATTACATCAATTGATGTGGATGAATCTGTGTTAAATGTGGGTGGGACCAATCCCCATCATAGGATCTTGGACTGTCTGAAACAGAGAAAGCCAGCTGAGCCTTCACATGCAGTTTGCTCTCTGATTCCTGATCCTGAATTTGATGTAACCAGCTCCATCAAGCATGTGCTGCCTTTACTTCCCCACCATGATGTCATAGACTGTCCCTTGACCAGTGAGCCAAAATCAACCCCAACTCCTTTAAGTTGTTTTGTCAGGACATTTTTTTTTTTATCACAGCAACAAGAAGTGAAACTAAGATATAATCTGAAGATTCCCTCGAGTAAATATTTCAGTGGAATTTACATCGGTCATATATAACTGCTTCCTGCCTTGAACCAAGATCACTTCTGACAGGGAAATAAGCATGGGTATGGAAATACTTTTTTCACATATTGCAGCTATAGGCAAAAAAAAAAAAATCATGAAATTGATTGAGAGCCAAAATTCACTTGATAGTTTTTCCTTCAATGACAAATTAATTAATGATACATATTATGTTAAAACACATTTAGATGACATAAATATAAAGCAAAGTGAGTAATAAAATGTTAAACTAGAATTTTGGGATAGCATGCTGACTTAATAATCACAACATGCTTAGAAATCAGATTATTTTCTGAGAAGTAATTCTAGAAGTAATAATATCTATGTTAAGCAGGGCCTTATACCTGTAGTAAATGTACACACTATATTAATTTATTTCACCTAAATGCCTCAGTGCTCTCATATCATGTATTATGTTCTTTCTGATAATGTTTTAATCATAAATATAGTATATATGACAAGCAGTTCAGTCAGTAATACAGACTTGGTCACCTAAGTCATTTTCCCTCTCTTTTTATACAGTAAAACTGAAATTGAAATGAACTCTCCTCAAGTCTCAGGTCACTGTGATGTTCACCCTCACTTCCGCTATTATATCCCTCAGCAGAGCACTCTTATAATAAAGTTGCCAATCCTTCTTACTTGAATGTGTCTTCCATCAAATATTGCTGCTCATTTATTTGGGTACAAGGTTTCTCCCCCTGGTTTGCTATTCACTCATAGAGCTTATCAAATCAATCCTCAATAGTTATTTGAATATCTGCATCATAGGCCAACCCCATCACATTCATAGTGATCATATTTATGAAGTTATTCAAAAAATTAAAATTTTGTTTATAGAGTAACAAAATTCTTGTGTTAATTTGTCAAAAACAATTAGATTTCCCCTCTCCTGTCAGTAATGTAAGGTAGAACTTGAGATCATTTCACAGTTTGAAACAGTAGTCCCTGGTTGCCTGCTGGATGTCAACATTGATACATAGCTCATAATCATGAATGTGCTTGGAACTGTTCAACTGTATGCAGGGCTACCTTATAAAAAGTTATCTTATTTTCTAAGAAAAAGCATATTTAGATTTGAAGACTGTAAAGAAGCCAGGTTAAGGAATTTAAAATCTAGATATCATGATGGTAAAATTTGGAATTTTCTGCAGAAGGGTTACTAAGTGATGAAGAATTAGAAAGGAACACAATAGTTTTGCTGTCACTTTCATAGCTCTATCAACAGCAGCATTCTAAATTTCACTAAGGCATTCTTTTTAACATCTACTTTTTATTATTTTCGTGTGTATATGTCAGTGCAAGTGTATTCTCTCTCTCTCCTCTTTGTGTGTGTGTGTGTGTGTGTGTGTGTGTGTGTGTGTGGATGTCCATAGAGTCCAGAAAAAAGATGCTAAGTCTTTTGAAGCCTCACATGGATGCTGGGAACCGAACCCCGGTCCTCTGGAAGAGTAGCAAGTGTGCTTAATTGCTGAAGTAACTATCCAGCCAAATTTAGACATTTTGAGAAAAGTGCTCTTGATAAATAGTTCTAAATAAATTATGACCAGATTTGTTAATCAGTTTTCAGACTTCTTCATGAGTCACATCCATACGAGACAAGAGTGGCTCAAGTAATAGCATATACATTTTTAACACTCTTCCCATGCTAAGAAAAAAATAAAATGTAATATTCCAGAGTAAATAATTTCAGTGATATATTGCTGGATACTGAATTCCAGAACAGAAACCAGTGTATACGAGGTTCATTACATGAGACCCAGACATGTCTTTATTTGACTTTGTTTCAGTTGTCCACTCTATAGGCTAGATAATTTGCTTCTGGTAAATTAACACAAAAGACTTTCTTTCTTCTCTCAAAATAATTATACAAAGTCTATTTCTTCAGAAAAACTTTAAAAATGCAACATAACAGAAAATAAACACCTTTAGTAATGGCTGAATGGTTAAAAATATACATGTTAAATGACTACAAACAACTGGAAGGAATAAAAATGTTTTCCCATTTGATTATTACTGAGTGACTGAAAATTCAAAGTGGGCCATAATTTAACTTTTGATAAGGTAAAAATCTTAAAATACCCAATAGTTAAGCTTGTAATGTGGTATGGCACTAGAATTTGGATATATTTGTGAAAACATGTTGGCTGTTGATGTAGCAAGATCTAATTTTACAGCTATATGGTATAAAAATTTGAATTAATCCATAAACCAAATAATAGCATAGTATGAAAAGTTCATGTTGAAACCTAAAGGAATGAATTACACACAGTATGTGGAATATTTTCATCTGAATTTCAGAGATCTATGTGAAAGACTGCACGTCTCCACTCTCAGAGCCCTCTCTTTTCTAGAATGAGTTCATTCACTCATCCACATATAGCATGTTTTCTTTGTACTGAAACTGAGGCTGGCTCATGCATTCCAGGCACAGGTGAGACTGTTCCGGTTCTTCACTATTTTTCTCACCACTTCTGCATCTCTGTCATATCATAATCTTCCTGTACTGCTTTGTACCTTTCTCAATATGAGATTTGTTTGCCATTTATTACTTGCATCTTACAACAGAATATAAGAGCCATGGGCTAGAATTTCTACTATTATGTCTTTAATATGGAGCACCTCTAATATAGTATGTGTTTAAAATTCATTTTAAAATAAGTTAATAAGGTCTTTGCCAGGACCAATATGAGGTCTTAGAGAAGGTAGTATTAAAGTTACTAAACTGAGTGGCTTGCCTTATATTCATGCTGTCACTGTAGGCAGTTGGAAAGAGGCAGGTTATTAAGTCTAGAGTGGATGCATTGATAAATATTTTCAGCAAGGAATTATATAAAGAAACAAATAGGAAGTACTCTTTAAGAAACAAATATGATGTACTCTGATTCCAATACATTCACACATGTCATCTCACACAAGATTATGTATAAGGAAATCATTTGGAATCCTATTTTCAACATTTTAAAAAACAACATTAACTTGGAAAACATCAGAATCAATACTTCTATACATGTTGTTCTGTTTTTTTTCTTTTTCTTTTATGTGTATGAGTTATTGGCTGCATGTATATAAGTGCAGCTGTGTCAAGTAATGCTCACAGAGGTCAGAAAAGGGAGCCTCTGGATGGTTATTAGCCACCATGTGGGTGCTGGGATTTGAACCCAGATCCTCTGCAAGAGAAGTCAGTACTCTTAACTGCTAAGCAATCTCTCAAGTCCCTTGCTCTGTTTTTGATATAGCTTTTCAAGTAGGAGAGAAATTAACTAAAAACATTTTCCTATTTATTAGTAGTCTTTATTCTACTGTAAATTTGTTTCTTTCATTGATTTCACTAATTTGAGGTAACATATTTAATCTAAATGTTTATTTTTCCAAGTTAGGGCTAAACTTTTAGAATTGGAAGTTTTAAACTTAATCCCTGCTAGATAGGAAGTTACTTAATAACAAAATGGGAAGTTAAATAGCATCTCTGAAAATCTTGTTTAAATCATGAAGTGAAAACTGAACTTTCATTTTCTTCCCCATAGAAGCTAACTTCTCCAAGAAGTCCTTTCAGTCTTTTGTTTCTAACTCTTTCATTTTCAAACCTAGTTCTGAAAGAATATAAAGAAACAACTAAAATCAGTTGGAGACTGAAACAAACTTAGAGCATTTTGAAGAACAAGAACAGCAAAAATGAAGGAATGTATTATGAATCTATAGATTCATTTTCATTAGGAATCATTATTCTGTCACAATAAATTTCTTCATTAATTTCTACTCATACACAACTTTCATTCTGTAGAGCATCACTTATATTCTATGGCCGTAACAGGTCTTTGATGAATCGTTTTGTGATCTATTAAGGGATATTTTAGCAAAGCCTTAAATTTATTATATAAGTTAAAATATATGACTTCTTATGGAAATATAATGTTTATTAAGGGAGACACGAATTGAATCTATAAATGTTTATTCTTACTCAAAGAGGCTAAATATAAGATCTTTCTGTTTAGATAAAACAAAATGCTTGAAATGACAATTTGAAAACATAAATTTTAAAATAAACCATGCATATATAAGTATTAAACCTTAGCTTTTTTCCCCTAAAGTTGGGAACATTTTATAGGATTATTTATGCAATGGCAATGAAGCAAATTTTACCAGCATGTTGGAAATTAAAGTCTGATTTTCACATTTGTGGGTCTTTGAAACATTTGCTTATAAAAAGTAGTGCAGTTGCATACTTAAACCCTTCTACAAACAGTGAAAGAGGGAGACTCATACTGTGGCCTAGCTGTAACAGTTTAATTGAAATTTGAATATTCATTTTTGTTATCATTTAACTTTATATCTAAATAAATATACACTTTCAATTGACTTATTTTGTCCACAGCATCTATGTAAAAGTGTTTAGGGCGCAGCTTTATCTACCTAGCACCTATTATGGGTCATGTTTCCAGCAATTTAAATTCATTTGATGGATACTGTTAACAATACCACACAAGGAGAACAAGAGAGACTAAGTCAAATGGAGGAATGCTATACTTCAAGCTAAAAGTAATTATTCTATTTATTAATATTTCATAACATCTACTTGCTGGTATCTAAATAAGTTGTTTCTTAATAAACAGGACCAATTTTATTGTATTTGTTTCCTTAGTACTATGACTTTGCATAGCTGCTAGTAAAACAATATTAATTAAAAGTGGTCATAATTATGTAAAAGTGCAATAAATTATCTTTGAATATAGAAACACAAATTTGTTTTAAAATTGTTTTTCTCAATAAAATAAGTAAAATTATCAAAAATGTAAAACAGGGATAGATACACACATACATACATACATACATATTCTGCCTACACAGATTTATAATCAGGCAAAAATACTGGGTCAAAGAAACAATGTAAGGCACTGTGCAATATTATTAATAAGGAAGTCACATTACATGAATGTTTAAAATGAAAATTTATATTAAATATAAAATACATTTATCAATTCTTCCATTTCATTAGCTCTTTGTGTTTATATACATATAGATTCTTCATCCACAGTGAATCTCTCTGATCAACCAGAGGCATTGAATTTCAAATCACTAGGTAATGTATACTCATGTAGTATGTGAAATGCATACTGACCTGTCACCTTTGAAGAAATAGGTTTTGCCAACATCTTCCCACCAAATGGCTGAGTCAATACCATGAGGGGGGATTCCATTTCCAAGAGTAATCAAGTCATGAGGGTAACCAGGTTGAAGAGTTGTGTCCTTGAACACCCAATATTTGTTACCTGTAAGGGAAAAAGTGCAGATATAAAATGTATTCAAGTTGGAGTATATCTGTCAGCACAATGAATTTGAATTACTATGCAAGAAGTCCTTGAAATAGGTAAGTAAGTGGTCACATCTGGAATATTGACATATTTCTCAAATATTAGTGTTATTTTCAAGAATGGATATAATACATAACTACTTAAAAGAATTTGAAATTGCGCTCTCCAACATGCAGGCCTATCTCTCTAAATCGAATGAGCCCTCCCCGCCTTTACTCCCCCAGCCTCATTCACCCTCCCATCTCCCCAGCTGTCTCTCATGCTAGCCTGGGTCCTGTCCTTTTCCTTGCCTTGGCGCCCCCGACACCTGGGGAACCAAGACTGCTTCTTCCTGATCCTCTGCATCCAGAGCAACTCAGTTCCTTCTCAGGTCCCCAGGAGCAATACTTCTGGGTGTGGCCCCACACTCACCTCCCTCTGCTTCCCTGGGCCTACGCCACCAGCAGGTCTCTATCTCTGGGGTAAGTCGATTGCACCCTCGAACCTTGAATCCCCCAGCCTCATTCACCCTCCCATCTCCCCCACCAGTCTCTCCTCCTAGCCTGGGTCCTGTCCCAATCCTTCTCTTGGCACCCCAGACACATGGGGAACCACCACTGATTCTTGATCCTTTGCATCTGGACCAACTCAGTTCCTACTATGGTCCCCAGGAGCATTCTGGGCCTGGTCCTGCCCTCACCTCCCTCTACTTCCCTGGTCCTGCACAACCACAAGCCTCTTTCCTGAATGCTGGGCCTGTCCTTTCCTTTCCTGATCCTTTGCATCCAGACCAATCCACCTCCTCAGTGCAGTCCTCAGCAGCCCTTGGGGCCACTTCCTGCCCCTATCTTCTTTTGCATCTTTGGGTGGCATGGCCACCAACTGCCCTAGACCAGCATCTTTCCTGGGCCGGCTCCCAGGCCAGTCCAACCCCTAAATTCCTGAGTCCAAAATCCTTCCTGGAGGGATCCAGACCTTCATCTGACTTGGGCCTCTGTGGGAACGCCTGAAGACAAAAGCAATCTGGCAACTCCAACAAAAAATCAAAAGACAGAACTGGAAGCTTAGAGGAACCAGCTTTTCATGACCAAAAAGGAAGCCACAAAGACACATAAAGTTCACAAAAAGAAGCAGACCTAAACTTGAAGGCTTGAGTCTCACACAAGAATCAGAAACTACAAAAGAAATTCACATGTCAAAAAAGCAGAGAAAAAATAATAACATGAAAAACCAAAATAACATATCCCAGTACAATGAGAACCCCTAGAGATAATGCAGGACAAGGAACTCAAACATGATAAACATGATAAAAGAATTCAGTGAATTTAAAGAACACACAAATCAAACAACTGAAGGAAGATAGGGATTAACTTCTGAATGAATTCAGAAAAGAGCTAGAAATATCAAAGACTACTCAGGCTGAAATGAAGAAGAAAGTGAAACACTCAATATGCCAATTAAAAATGACAGGAGAAAGCATCACAAACAGGATGAAAGAAATGGAAAACAGAGTATCAAGACTGGAAGACAAAGTGGACGAACTAAACCACACAAGTAAAGATTATGAAAAATAATGTGAAGACCAGATCTTCAACAAAATCGTATAAGAAGATTTCCCAAAATTAAAGAAAGACATGCCAATACAAATACAAGAAGAATATAAAACACCAAAAAGACAGGACCAGAAAAGAAACTCTCTACTGCACATCATAGTAAAAACACTAAACGTACAAAACAAAGAGACAATACTGAAAGCTGCAAAAGAGAAACAACAAGTCACATATAAAGGAAAACCCATTAGGATTACAGCTGACCTTTCAGTGCAAACTATGAAAGCCAGAAGAGCCTGGACCAAAGTATTCCTACTTTTAATGGACCACAGGTACCAACCCAGACTGCTATACCCAGCCAAAATGTCTATTATAGTCGAAGAGGGAAGAAAAATCTTCCATGACATAAATAGGCTGAAGGAACTCATGTCCACAAACAGCACTTCTGAGAGTTCTGGAAGAAATATAAAGAGCTGAAGAAAGGAATGACTATATCCAAGGGGTTGCAGAACGAAATTCAAAGAAGTTATAACTGTGGCAAAGAACAGCTATATCAAGAATGTAAACAGAAATAAAAATGTCAGGATTCAATACTCATCTGTCATTAACAACTTTAAATATTAACGGATTGAACTCCCCAGTCAAAAGACACAGACTAGGTGAATGGATTAAGAAACAAAACCCATCTTTTTGTTGTCTGCAAGAAAAACATCTCACAACTCATCTCACTTTCAAGGTCAGACACCATCTCAAAGTGAAAGGATGAAAAAAAAATACACCAAACAAATGACACTAAGAAAAAAGCAGGCATAGCAATTCTAATATCTGATAAAATAGACTTTAAACTAAAACTAATCATAAGATACAAAGAGGGGCATTTCATACTGATCAAAGGAGCAACAAATCAAGAAGATATTACAATCATGAACATATATTCACCAAACTCTGGTGAACCCACATTCATAAAATCAATACTACAGGAGTTTAAGACCCAGATTAAGCCCAACTCATTAATAGTAGGGGACTTCAATACCCCACTGTCTCCATTAGAAAGGTCAACAGGGCAGAGAGTTAACAGAGACATCTAAATGAAACGATACCATATATCAAATGGACTTAACAGACATCTACTGAGTATTCCCCCCAAGCACCAAAGGGCATACTTTCTACTCAGAATCCCATGGAACCTTCTCCAAAATCAGCCATATAGTGGGGCACAAAAAAACCTCAACTAATACAAAAAGATTGAAATAATTCCATGCATTCTATCAGACCGCATTGCAATAAATCTTACAATCAACACCGGAAGAAGCCCTAATCACCACATGAACACATGGAGATTAAACAATACACTCATGAATGATGAATGGGTCAAAAAAGAAATTAAGAAAGATATAAAAGTATTTCTGGAACTAAATGAATAGGAAAATACAACACAACAAAACCTCTGGGACAGGCTGAAAGTGGTCCTTAGAGGGAAGTTTATAGCTCTAAGTACTTACATCAAAAAATCGGAAAGAACAACAATAAATGACTTAACTTTCCAACTCGACACTTGAAAAGCAACAGCAAACGAAACCCAAACCCACCAGACAAGAATAAATAACAAAAATCAGGGCAGAAATGAATGAAATTGAAAAAAAAAAAGAAAACAATACAAAGAATCAACAAATCCAAGAGCTGGTTCTTTGAACAAACAAGATTGAAAGACTGCTATCCCAGCTAACCAAAAGAAAGAAATAGCACCTACAAGTCAACGAAATCATAGATGAAAGGGGAAACATCACAAGAGACACCAGAAAGATACAGAACATTATAAGGGAATAATTTAAAAACTTATGCTACTAAATTCGAAAACCTAAAAGAAATGGATGCATATCTAAAGGCATGGGAACCACCAAAACTAAACCAAGAAGAGATTAACAGCTTAAACAGACCCATAACACAAAAAGAAACTGAAACTAATATAAAACCTCCCGACTAAAAAAAGCCCAGGACCAGATGGATTTACAGCAGAATTCTATCAGACATTTAAAGAAGATCTACATCCAATACCACTCAATTTATTCCAAAAGATACAAATGGAGGGAGAACGTCCAAATTCCTTCTATGAAGCTAACATCTCTCTAACACCAAAGCCAGGTAAAGATACAACCAAAAAAGAAAACTATGAATCCATATCCTTCATGAACATAGATGTAGAAATTCTCAACACAATACTTTCAATTTGCATAGAGACACACATCAAGATCATCAACCATGATCAAGTCAGCTTTATCCCAGAGACACAGGGATAATTCAATATACATGTGATTAAACATCATAAATCACATAAATGGGCTCAAAGACAAGAAGCATATGGTCATGACAATAGATGCAGAGAAGGCCTTTGACAAAATTCAACATGCATTTATGTTCAAAGTCCTAGAGAGAATTGGACTGGAGGGAACATACCTAAACATAATTAAAGCCATATATAACATACCCACAGCCAACAACATTCTAAATGGAGAAACCTGGAAGCATTCCCATTGAAATCAGGAACCAGAGAAGGCATCCACTATCTCTACTAATCTTTCACATAGTGCTTGAAACTCTTGCAAGAGCAATAAGACAAGAGCAGGAAATTAAAGGAGTAATAACTGGAAAAGAAGAGATCAAGTTATCCCTTTTTGCAAATGATATGATATTATATCTAAGATAGGCCAAAAATTCCACCAGAAAACTCCTAGAAATTATTAACATTTTCAGTAAAGTGGTAGGTTACAAAAAAAACCTACAAAATTCTACAGACTTTCTATATACCAATAATAAGCAATCAAAAAAAGAACACATGGAAACACTCCCCATCACAATAGCAGCAAAAATAATAATAATAATAAAAAACTCAGAATAAACTTGACCAAAGACATTAAAGAGCGCTACAATAAAAAATTTTAAGTCTCTGAAGAAAGAAATCAAGGAAGACATCAGAAGATGGAAGGACCTCCCATGCCCATGTATTGGAAAATTTAATATTGTGAAAATGACCATCTTACCAAAAGCCATTTATAGATTCAATACAATCACAATCAAAATCCCCATGACATTTTTCACAGAATTGGAAAAAACCATCCTAAGTTTTATACAGAAGCATGAAAGACCTCGAATAGTCAAAACAACCCTGAGCACAAAGAATAATGCCAGGGGGATTACTATACCAGATTTTAAGCTGTATCACACAGCTATAGTCATAAAAAAAACATGGTACTGGCACAAAAATAGACCCATGGATCAATGGAACAAAATTGAGGACCCAAATATGAGTAAATGCAATTTCAGCCATCTGATATTTGACAAAAGGGGCAAGAATATTCACTGGAGGAAAGACAGCATGTTCAGCAAATGGTGCTGGCAAAACTGGATCTCCACCTGTAGAAGAATGAAACA